AACATCTATTCCATTTCAGAAGTCGAGTAAGCTAAACAAAAAAAAAAAAAAAAAAAAAAAATTAGTGATTGGTGCAGAAACAAGATATTTAAAAAATGCCGAGTTGAATGAAAGTGAAATTATTTTTTCAATTTTGTGCGATCATTTTTTGTAACTGCATGTTCATATATAATGGATAAATTTCCACTAAGTGATCCATTTCTAAAACACGAAGTTGCTGACATCAACTTGAGAACTGAAGTTTCAGTTTCATCTGTTCTTTTCTTGATGAATACTTTCCCTCCATTATTGATGAAAAATATCTTAATCAAGTGGAAATTGAGTTTTCTATATAAAGTAGGTGATTTTAAAGAAATTGTAGATGTGCATAATGATATAGCATGGGGAGAAATTGCCACATTAAAAAATATGAATGGGTGTATTAAATGCAAAGTGTTGCCTATTGTAATGCTTGCTGTCTTAATATTACCTCATTCAAAATGCAGCTTGCGAAAAAAAAAATTTTGCTATTATTAAAAAAAAAAAAAAAAAAAAAAAAACAGACTGAATTTCGACCAAATTTAGGTCTTAAAAACTACGGAAGCAATTTTGAATTAATATGCATGCAAATGAAGAATTGTCCTTATAAAAAAATTCTCAAAATCAGAACTTGAGGCATGTTACATATAAATCTTTGCAGCCATAATTTATAAATAAATTATAAGTATTTTTAATAGTTATATGTACTACTGGTTATCTACATTTTTAAAATTTTATTTGCCTGTGAAAATAAAATCCAGAATAAAGATATACGATTTATGGATTCTGATTTTTTCTATGATTAGTAGTGATTTAAAATATTTGCTTCAGGAGTTAAATGACAATTTCTAATTAAATATGCATATAATTTAAAAAACATATTTTTCATTATTCAGTTTTACAATATATACAGTACAACTCCAATTATCCGAATCGCTGATTATGCAAATCGCTTTCAGAATTTTTCAGAATCAACTGAAGAAGAGAAGGAAAAGAAAATAGAACCTCAAGAAAAGTAAAGGGAAGAGACAGGAGAAGAGGAGGATGACATATCACTTGAGGAATTAAACATTTTTTTGAAAATTCCTGGATGTTTAAAAGTTAGTGCTTGAGGATACAGCAGAATGGATGGTCTGTGATTTATCAGACCCTGGGTTACAAATTTTCAGAATCAACTGAAGAAGAGAAGGAAAAGGAAAAAGAACCTCAAGAAAAGTAAAGGGAAGAGACAGGAGAAGAGGAAGATGACATATCACTTGAGGAATTAAACATTTTTTTGAAAATTCCTGGATGTTCAAAAGTTAGTGTTTGAGGATACAGCAGAATGGATGGTCTGTGATTCATCAGACCCTGGGTTACAAATTCTAAATCAGTGTTTCCCAAACTTTTTTGTGCTATACCCCACCTAATCCTCTCTAAAATTGTTAAGCTCCCCCTAGCTTATACATAATTTTTAATATTTAAAAATTGAAATGTTCGTGAAAGAAACTTGAATGATAGCTTTTAGAAAGAAATGACTACGAAATTTTCTGAGTCCATTATGTCAAAGTGTTGCCTTTTCATTTTAATTAATTAATGGCTCTTTTTTCTTAAAAATAGTGTTTTTCCCCTCCATTTTCAACATACAGTACATACAGTAATTAATTAAAGTGTACGTAGAACCATTCTTCAGAAAAAATCTAATTATCCAAATGGCTTCTAGTCCCAATTGATTCAGATAATTAGAGTTCTACTGTATATGGATTTTAAATGTAATAAAATTGATTACAATTTATGATTAATTAATGAATAGTTATATGCCTTGTGCGCTGATTTTTAAAATTGTAAAATTGTTGTTTGTGCATCGACTACTGACAAGTCTTGCTGCAGGTTAGAGTCTATGAATGCATGGTTCAGGTTACTGAACCTATTTGTGATTCAGTTCTGATACAAAACATATTAGCATTTAATTGTATATTCTGAACGTTATCCAAATTCTGAATTTTAAAAGTCCGAAAGAGCAATGTCAGGGCTATATGGTGGGTGTGGCAAAAGCTCCCATTCAAGTCCATAGAGTCCAACCGGTGAATGCGGTCATGTGGTCTTGCATAATCTTGAAGGATCATTAACTTTTTGTGCCTGAACTCAGTTCAATGTAGCATCTCACTGTACAACTTACTGTCAGGGGCTTTATCTTTCTTCAGATATTCTTTGTGAATAATACCACACCAGTCCCACCAAATGTAAAGCATGATCTTTTTTATTAGTCAAACTGCACTTTCCAATGCTGCCAATGGGCTCACCACGCACAGACCAACACCCTTTTGGGCCTGTGTTATTGAAGAAAATCCACTTTTCATTACAAGTGACGACCCAATCCAGAATTTTGTCATTGCATTGATAAAGCTTATTATAGTGAAGGCCCGAACATGTCTGTCCTCATCAGCTTGAGTCAGCTCATGTGGCACCCAGCAATTGAACTTATACATCAAGTTTATGCAATGCATAAAGTGACTATTCGACATGGCACTAATGTCTAACTCCTCAACAGGCTCTTGAGTAGTTGCATACTAATCTCTTCCACAAGTTCTTGTAGGCCAGTCAGAGCACTCTGCTTCTGGAATGTCATAGGAATGCCTTGTTTTTGAACTTTCGGTACCAAATCTTCGCAGTCTCACATGATACAGCATTAGTGCTTAAAGCTATACACATGATTTGGTGACATTGTCAGGGTTGCCACTCAAACTGGAGAATGAAATTCCCTGACATTTCCAGGTTTTCCAGGTGTGTTTCAAGAAAATTCCAGTCTATCCGCGTAATGTGCGTTGGCTGTGCTAAGATTTAAATTAATTATGGTATTTACTTGTATTGTGCAGCAAATTCACTTAATTATTCAATAAATCCCAGAGGACATTTATTCTTAATTATTCTTGGTATACTTTGTTTGATAATTTTGTTTACTTTTCCACTTAAGAAACTTGATAAAATTTAAGATATATACATTGGATAACAAATGTTATGTTTTATTTAATTATTACTCATGATCATCACCAGTTCAAGACGAGGCTAGTCCGGTCCTTATAAATCACAATGCAATGCTAAATAGTTAGGTTAGATTTTAGGTAAATTTAATTTGTGTGAGGTATGTTCTTAAACGGCACCTTAACACTTGAAAACACATATATAATAGTTGTTGTTTTCTCCACTGAAGATTGAGATTAGAATCTTCCCAATCTGGAATAAAATAAGGCTTTTTTTGCAGACATTCTGCAGCTAAACGAAAGAAAGAAATCTATTTTAATAAATTGAGGTATTTTATATTTATTTCGCAGCATACATAAGGAAAAAATATGTGCATTAAATTTCGTCATGGTATGTACACATACTGCTAGAATTAATTTCAGGATTATGCCAGAAAATTTCCTGAAATTTGGAAATATTATTTACTAATAATAAATTTAGAGGGAAGAAGCAACATTAAATTATATGAATAACATAAAAATAAAGATAATTACTTAAAAATTGAATTAGAATAATTAACGATATTTTAGCGAATAATATTACATGGTTAGCCTAGATGACTGATTACTATTTTTTTTATTTTACTGCAAAATGGCAAGGCATTTATTAAAAAAAAAAAAAAAGGTTTAAAAAGATTTTGTGGTAAAATTCTAGTATACGGTAAGGCTTTGGCACGATTTTGAAACTTGTCGCTAAGACCAAAATGAACCGTTTACTGCACATCATCATGTCACCAAATCCCATTGTACCATACATGGAGATTATTCTAACTAAAGAACGTCTATGTAAAGAAGAAAAGGTTCCATACAAGTAAAATGCTATTACGCCACTAGAATGCAGAGGGAAAATTTGCCAAGGGATTTGGCGAAGGAACCTGGCAGCCAGAATTTCCTTCTCCGCGATGTGTACCCGAAATTGAGAAACACGTGTTAAGAAGAAACGTTCTTTGACAAAAAGAAAGCTACGAAAAATCCAAGAAGAAACGTTTTATCAAAGGACGTTTCTTCTTTTGGATTTTTCGCAATAATTTTAAAAACGGATTTTCGTAGTTTTATTTTTCCCTGAAAATAACTAATCCATGAATTAATTTACTTGCGCCAAAAAATATTTTCTTTTCGTAGACTAAACTTCACGGTTGCGGTGCCGTGCGCTACAAATATAACAAGCAGCAAAGTGTTTCATTTACATCGCTCCGCATCTGCGAGTGCAATCCAGAGCTGTAACTCGAGAAATAAACAATCTCGTTGTTAGGCGACGTGTGCACCACGTTATTTTCATTTTTACGATAAATGCTTATCGACGTGGTGTTCACATCGCTCGCGGTTTGAGACAAAAGCATCTCGACGTGCGTGACACGTCTTTTTAGCGCATGTGGTTAAAGAAACGTTTTTAAACGATATTCATTTTATGAACTCTTGATAACATGACCTTCGAACTTCGACACCGGTTTCGAGCTTTGGCAACAGATATATCACGCATGCACAGCTGTTTCCCTCTATGATGGAACGGAGCCACGTCTGTTGCAGAAAGGTTTTCCTTCTTTACAATACATATGCTTTGATTCTAACCTCCATGGTACCGTATACTAGGATTAAACCCATTTTGTTTTATACGAGAACAGTACTTTCTTTAGTTCATGCATTGCACATGCGATTCTCGAGAATACTGGAAACCAAAAGTTGCGGGAAACTTGCGTTGCCTTTCTAAAAGACAATCAAATTGGAGCTGCGAAAATTGGCTCTATGCCAGCTGCCCGAATGACTCACGTGATACACAATTCACCAAAAAAGTTATCTCTTCCGACGTCGGCGCAAAAATCGCCTTTTTTGGCAGGATCGTTGTATGAACTTCCCTGACTTTTCCAGATTTTGACAAAAACACTTAAATTCCCTGACTTTTTCCTGAATTGTTTGGTCAATTTTTGAATTCCATGACTTTTCCCTGAATTGTCTGGTCAATTTTCGAATTCCCTGACATTTTCTGGTTCTCCCGGTTTTCCAGGTAGCGTGGCAACCCTGCATTGTGTGACTAACTTTTTGCAACAAAACTGGAAGTAAATGATGATTCTAATCTGGTAGCATGATAGCTCCATTTCAGATACCTTGTACTTAATGATAGTTTTACTTCCTTGTACGAAGTAAAAAGGAAGTATTGTAATCGCGAAAAGTTTCATGCAGCATATTTCGGTACTTTTCCGTTTCGCCAGCACAAATCTCGCCAAGCAGACTTTATTGGGGCCAACATACAGTATACACATAAATAATATTTAAAAAATGTTAGTTCTAAGAATTCTTTTTTTGAAGGCATAAACATTTTAATATCGCTTAAAATTTTATAAAAAGCCAATAAATAAAGACAATAAAATTATAAAAAGACATTAATTTAAGAATTTATTATGTTTTCATGGTTCAACATCCTGATTCGCCGGTTCATATCACGTGACCCCAAGCGATCTCATCTCACATAAACTACTGTACAAAAATCTAATGCTCTCAGTAATTATCTACATTCTACATTAATTTCAAGTTAAATCTTAATTTGGAACACAAGTTTAAATGCAAGAAATATTTCAATTCGTACGAATAGCTTACTCAGAAATTATGTAAAACTGCAGTGCTTTACTTCGCTAATGCATTCTCATTGAATTAATGAATTTAACCCTTGACTTTACCTTTTCTATAGTTTCGGCTTCAGGTAAGCGCTATGATTGCATCCTAATTGATTTAATTACCGAAAATGGCCTTAGACATAAAACTGAACTAGCTGATAAAAATTCTATAAAATTATGTGCCAGTATTGAAAGAAAGAATCAATCTGATAGGAAAAAGCTGCGACTTGTTTTGAAAAAGAGGCGTAAAAGGTTACCAGCGAGAATATTCCGTTTGGCATCGGTTGTACCATTATTGGCAACTTTATCGCTTGCGCCGGCAAAACGGAAAAGTACCCATATTTCAATGAAAATATCCAATTTGACCGCTATCGAATGCATTTTAACGATCTTTTTGCATGATATCTGTATGAAAGAACAGAATAAAAGACGCTTTTCCTCCAAAAAATTATAAAACTGCTTTAAAATGAATTCTGAAGAGAATTTTTCGTGGCGTCTCTATGAACATATGTATGTATGTATCTCACATAACTCAAAAACAAGTAGCCTCAGAACGTTGAAATTTTGTATATAGGATTGCTATAACATGTAGATGTGCACCTCGTATTTTGGTTGCAATCGGCCGCACCAAACGTATATAAATATATTTATAAAAAATAAAAATGGTAGAAAGCTCGCCTATTGCTTGATAAATTAAATATATTTATATATATATCCACTCTGTTACCCAGCTCAGTGATCTCAGTTTCTTTACACTTATATGTTTGTAAATTGTGCATTTTTTGCTTTAAAAATGATTGAATTATGTTGTTCTTATCTTCCGGTTAAAATTTTTATGCCTTTAGTAAATCTGTATGCAATATTTTTAGAATTATCAACAACTTTAAAGTTGTTTAAGTGCTGCTAAGCCTAATAATTTTTTTGATGGCGGCCGTTGCTTGTTTACATTTGAAACAGCAGAATAGTGGATTTGTTGCCAATCTAGAGAAACTTAGCTTCGCAACAACAAAGATAACGCCTTCATTTATTATTGTAAATTAAATCATACTTTATCCTTTCTGGAATTTTTTCGAGGAAATAAGTGTTTAAAATTTAATTGAATTAACTGATTTTTTAAGAACAGAATTAATTAAATGCGAAATACTCAATCGTCTGTGAAAAACATTTTCTTTTTTGTTTTCTTTGCTTAATTTCTTTTATACATCGTTCTAGCTTTATTATAGTATTTGAATAGAACATGTGGCAACGATTAGATAATTCTTGAAATGATATAAATTTTGTTCATTCTGAATTACAGAACGAAATATAATACTGTTAAGTGAGCCTAGCACCAGAGTGTTGCTACAGTAAACAAATAGAGTGAATCTTAAAGAATGCATTTATTCTGCACTGTCGGCGAAGTAGATTTAATTGAATCCAATAAGTTTAAATGAACTGCAAGAAAAAATGCATATAATTTAATATTCCGTACAAGGAAGTCATGTGGTGTACACATCAGATTTTTTTTACTAATATCACAACACAGCATTCCAAAGCAAGTCTCTTTCAAATGCCAAAATTCGTTTGACAAAATATGATTATATACGATTATGCGAACTGTTTGTGCATATGATATTTGTGGTGGCAAGAAGCTTTAGTTAAAACTGTATACTTTGCACTGCATACATTATATTTTGATAAGTTAAATGCAAGTCTGAAAACTAATTCACAGAGATATGCATAATTAACATTTTCACAGCCTATCAGTGTCGCTAGCTTAAGATTAAAAACTGGACATGGCTACCTCATGAAACACCTATACAAATATGGTTTAGTAGACTTTCCATCTTGCCCATTATGTGATATTGACGACATGTGAGGTGACCATTTAGTCACTTGTTCTGGATTTCATCACGTGGCAACGACTAATGCTGTCAAAAATTATTGTACTTTTTTTAATGTTTCTGAACTATATTGGGTTGCCCATCTCAGATTAATGGTGGTAATGCCTAGGTTTTGCGTAGGATTTAAAAAAAAAAAAAATACAAATAACTTTTACCCAATAAAAAACCATTTATCACTTAAAATGAATAAATTTTGTTTTGAAATTTCTCCCTAAATTTCTTATAGTATTTGAATAGAACATGTGGCATTTCTCCCTAAATTTCATACAGTAATAGGCAATGAAAATTATTTAAGTGAATAAATTTGATTTTGAACATCTCTATGAATTCTGCATATATACATATGTGTGTGTGCTTAATGAGTCAAAGCTTTGACCATTATATATATACATTTGATATTTTGTACCTAGCAACCGCCAACCATCAGCAAACTAGTCACGCTGATCTGTTGGAGATGATATGCCAAAGATTTTATTCAAGGTGTTATTGTCTTATTAAATATTACATCATATTATTAGAGATTTATACTGAATTGTTGTCTTAAGGTATTATATAATAATGTTTTCTATTGAATTTCTTAATTACTTTAAGATATGTCAATGCATTTTTAATTACCTACGATGAAAAGAATGAATGCACGTTATGCATAAATTGTATATCTTCTAAGTTTTATATGAAAAAGTGTTCCCCGCAAAAATTTTAAAAATCTTCTATTCAAAGCTTATTATGGAACCATATTCATTGAAAAAAGTGCATAATAT